AAGGCAGTCGCTTAACCAACTGAGCCACCCAGGTGCCCCCAAAAGACAATGTTTTTAAACAGGCCACCTTCTGAGAAGTTGAGACTAGAAGCATCTATGAGCACAACTTGGAATACAACAAGCAAAACAGAAACAGAGGTGTTAAGACACTGGCTTGATCAGTAAGTACAAACAGGAGGAAATTTATTTGTTTTTTGCTTTGTTTTGTGTGGTTTATGCAGATACCGAATTTTAGAGCAGGAAGAGGGAACCTCAGGGAAAGCTACCCTCCACACCTGGGTTTTGACAAATGAAGAAACTATCATCATTTCCTTGAGAAAGGTGTCCTAACACACTGAGATCTCACCTCTACCTAGTGTGACTCCAGCCTCTAAGAAGGCTCCACAGAGAAAGCTTTCCTAAGAAAATGACCCACTCTTGCAATGCTGTCTGGGCTATTAGTACACAGGCTTCATTGTTAGGCAGGCCAATTCAATGTGTGCCAAGCACAAGGGCTCCAAGTACTGAAGAAGGACCTTGGAGATTATCTCATCGGACTATCTCACTTTACAGAAGGGAAAAATATGACCCAGAAAAACAAAGCAAGGAGGCCAGCACTCCACATCACACTGGGAACAGGTTTCTCAGCAGGGCCACAACTGACATCTTTTGGACCAGATACTTCTTGGGTGGGGAGAGGGCTGTCCTGTGCATTGCAGGATATTTAGCAGCACCCCTGGCCAACAGTGGTCCCCCTACCCAATTGTGACAATCAAAACATGGCCAAACATCCTCTGAGAGTGGAGGGGCAAGACAAAATTGCCCCCCATTGAGAACCACTGGGTTAGAAACCGGGACAACCAGCAACCCAATCCCTCTCACTCCCAACATGGTGCTCTTTCACGAAGTGAGCCCTCATTTTTAAATAAATACGTTGGGACCAGAGAGAACTGATTAAAGCATTAAGTCATCATGAATATGGATTACATGTCAAATGATATTATTACCCAACAATTAAGAATGAGCCTTAAAAAATGAGTCTTAAAGATATGAACTACCTGCTAGATAGATTTATCCATCTAACTGTATGTGCCTGACATGAATATAAACACATTATGTTCATGTACATGTATGAGGCTGAGACTATGAAATCTATGAAATAAGGAGTCTCTCAGTTTTGGCTGGAGAAAAGACAGTAATGTCACGTTAAAAGATACTTCAGGGAGAAATACCTCTAGAAATGGTCACATTTCTTACCATCCTTAGACAAATTCACTACACGTTGTACCTAAATACAGATCTTTTTTTTTTTAATTAACAAGAAGGGACCCTCATCATCAACTTATTTAATCATCTTATTATAAAGATAAACTCAGTTCAAAGAGCTGCAGTTTCCTAAAACAGTGCTTCAAAACAGTGCCAGATTCCTTCTTAAACACAGATGAGAAAAAGGGGCGCCTGGGTGGCTCAGTGGGTTAAGCGTCTGCCTTCGGCTCAGGTCATGATCCCGGGGTCCTGGGATCGAGCCCCGCATCGGGCTCCCTGCTCGGCGGGAAGCCTGCTTCTCCCTCTCCCTCTGCCTGTCTCTCTGCCTACTTGTTCTCTCTCTCTCTGTCAGATAAATAAATCTTGAAAAGAAAAAAGAAAAAGAAATAGGATGCACAGCTTCTACCACCAACAGCAACCTCTGGTTTTGGAGCTCCAGATAACTACAGTATCAAATATTACCTGTTTCTCTTTTTCCGGTGTTCTCTATTAGAATTTTCTGATTCACTCCCACTGCTCGTGTTACAGCGTGAGCGTGACCTGAAGACAAAATGAGAAGAACAAAAGAAAAAAAAAAAAAACCCACATTTATGACAAATAAATTTCAGAAAGGTTCATGTTGGTTCTTCAGAATGAATTTTGCAATAAAACGACTAATCCAAACATCAGTAGCTATTATTATCCCTCCCTCAGCCAGTGCTCCCCAGTTCAGTCAGACATCTGAATGAGTCTACAGACACGTGAAAGCAGATTAGGGCAAATGTCACCCTGCTCCCCAAAAAGACCATGAAATCAAGCATTTCCAACGGAACTCTGCCACGGCAAAGCCCTAGGCCCCTGAAGTGGACTAGATATGAACACAAAGTACTGTCACACCCCCAGGCCATATAAACGGAGGTAGAGCTTATTTCCCCTCCCCTGGAATTAGCACTGGTCCTGTGACTGACTTAATCAACAGAATGATGTGGAAGGGCTACTCTCTGCCAGTTCCTGGACTGTCTGTCTCTTCCCAGAGTGGGTAGCTCCTGCTTCCTCCTGGCGCCATCTCAAGAAGCCAAGGCCAGCCAGGTAGAAAGGCCATGGAGAGAGAGAAGCCTCGGGCCTCCCACCATTTTGCCAAGACAACAAACAGGAGAGAGAAAGGCCTCTTGAGTATTCCAGCCCCCGCTGCCCTCTGACTGCAGCTTCATATGAGACTAGCAAAACCAGCCTGTTCAATCAACAGAATCATACAACATATATATGGTTGTTGTGGCTTTAAGCCACTAAGTTTTGGGGTGATTTTAAGGTAGCAATAGATAACCAAGACAGCTCCCCTGCGATACAAAAAAGCAGAAAAAAAGAGAAATTGCTAAGGATGCTACAGAATGGAAGACTGAGAACCAACTGAAGCCAAAGCTGGTATCTCCAAGTTAATTTTTCTATAATGACCTCAAAGGAGTCACTAACAACAACCCCCGCTCTGGCTTCCACTCTGAGTAATGCTAATCCTTCCTCCCTCTCCCTGTCCCTCCTGCCATTTTTGTTTTTACCTCCTCCTTTGCTTTAGATCTGAGTCTTCACCACTGTTATGGGCTTTCCTATAGAAAACAAATAAATGAAGATATTAAAAAAAATAGAAAATTATCCATTGGCTAAGGAAAGCATAGCAAAATGAGTTTCACTTCAGTTCACACATATCTGTTTTGTATTCGTTCATTTTTAAGTCACACAACATGCCCAATTCCAGAAGTAGAACATATCACCAACCAGCCTCCAAAAGCCAACAACCTGAAGGAGGCTGCAAACAGTCTACAACAACAACGCACAGCATGTCTGTGAGGTACGATTCACCCAATGATGGGACTGTCTGTAGTTCCTACATCTATAATCTGACGAGTCCAGTTCTGCCATAATCTGACTGGCATCAGCTCTCACTCGCATGCCCTTTCCAACACCCTGGCCTCCAAGGCCCCTGACCATTTCTCTAATAACCTCTTCACAATAACTCAGCAGCCCACATCATGGCCACACTTTGGACTTTCTCATCTGTAACCACCTCCAAACACTTTGGTCTCTGGCCACAATCTCCTCCCCTTCCTATTTACACTCCTGAACAGCTCAGATGGGGCACCCTGGTTAAACATGCAGATCTGGAGCCAGACAACCTGAAGGTGGGTCCCATCTCCTCCACCGATGAGGTGTGTGATTCCAACAAACTACTTCTCTACTAAGGGCCTCAGTTTTCATGGAACCTCCCACGAAGGGCTGTTATGAGGATAAAATGAACACATTTAAAATGCACAGAGTAGGACCTGGCTTACTGAAGCAACCAATAAATGTTAGCTCTAATTATTATTGCTTATTTTCATGACTTTCCTTCTACTTTCTTTGACCTCAATAGAACTATTTGTTCACTGACCTTGCTACTTCCCATCCACTCCTCTTGGCCTTTCTTCATTTCCTCCCTGACTCACTGAGTTTTCCATCATTTTGATAACATGTATGCCAATACTCAAAACTTCCTCCAATTCTCTGTTTGTGGTTCAGCATTTCTGGCAAGATCCCACACATGGGTAAATCAAAATATCCAGGTTTTCTGAGCCAGCCTTCAACAGCTGGCTGACCGGTGCTGGAGGGAGTTACAACAGAAGGACACATTAGTTATACTACAAATTCATGTTCACAAACTTCATGTGAATCCACAACATCCTCCCACCTTTCTCTGATCTAAGTACTCTCTCTCTGCAAAGCAGTTTCAAACTCTTTCTACCTCACAACCCTCTGATAAACCGGTCCCTCTGCATCAGCAGCCGACTTTGTTTTCTCCAAAGAAAAAGTAGCCATCAGATGGCAACTCTTTCATATTCCTGTTACCAAAAATAGCACTTGCCTACATCTCCTTCTGTGTTATTTACAGATCTTACAGATCTGTCCTTACAACTAAGGTCAGTCCCTCCACCTGTGTTGTCTGGGTCCCATCACCTCTTATCTTCTCAATGACTTTCAGTAACTACCCTCCTACCTCTCAGATATATTCAACTTGTCCATATGGAAAATTCTCTTATCAGCTTTTCACGTTATCAAGTTTCTACTACTTAAACACACACAAGTACGGGGTGCCTGGGTGGCTCAGTCGGTTAAACGTCTGCCTTCGCCTCAGGTCATGATCTCAGGGTCCTGGCATCAAGCCCTGCGTGGGCTGCAGGGAGCCTGCTTCTCCCTCTCCCTTTGCCCCTCCCCACCGCTTGCGCTCTCTCACTCTCAAATAAATTGATAAAATCTTAAAAAAAAATAAATACACACACATCTGCTTGACTCCATATCCCCCTTCATTTTTCTCCCAGTCTCTCCTCTCTCTTTCAAAGCACCAAACTTCTTGAGAGAGGTGCCTAAGCCTCTTGTCTCTGGTCTTTACCCTTCATCATCCATGCCTTCACACCGGTTGGGCAGACATGGCTCTTTCATGTCACCATCACGACATACCTTCCCCCACTTCACAAACATACTTATATCAAACAGCATAACGTTGATAGGTCTCTGTCCTTACACCAAATTTTTCAATAATTTTTACTTGGTATAAATATAATTATATATTGTTTACAGATGATCTCTACAGCGTTTAAGGAATACAATACCATTCTTGTATAGGTTTTACAATTTTCTTAAAGATAACAATTGCCTAGTTTTCTATGTACCTATAGGTTGCTTAGTTTTCCTTGTTTTATCACTAATTCTTCATCAAAACTCTGAGAGCTGCAAAAATCCTCCTGAGATGGGTGAGTACTTAGGTAATCTACAAGTTCCACTAACATCTTCCCTGGAGCCCTGTGCCCTCCTGCTCACATCTAGATGATCTGTTCCCTAGTACTGCTGTGCAAATGTCACTTTGATTACTCCCTTCACCATGATCTAGGGAATTCCTTCTGCTTCTTTGTAAGATGAATCCCATATTTCCAGTTCTCATGACTACTTGCCTTGGTTTTGGAGGAACATATCTTCCAGTTGTTAACAGAGAAAGTCTGCATGGCAGGTACATTTTCTTTTGAGAGCTGGAATTTCTCAAAATATCTTTGACACACGTAATTATAGTTTTCTGGGCTTAGAATCCTAAATTGAAAAGAATCTCCCCTCAGCGTTTTGAAGGCAATGCTTATCTTCTTTCTCTGACATTGCTGTTAAGGAGCCCAATGCCACCATTCTGATTTGTCAACATTTGTGCATGAACTTTTTCTCTCTCATATTCCTCCCTTCCTGGAAGTTTTAAAAATTCTCTCTTAACCTATAATGTTTTGAAATTTAATGATATTGGATCTTGGTCTGGATCTAATTTTCCAGTCTATTATACCAAATGCTCCATAGCTTTTCTCTATAATGTTTGATCATTCAGTTTGGGATATTTTCTTGTACTACTTCTTTAATAGTTTCCTCGTCTGCATTTTTTTTCCCTTGGAAATTGCACTACTCAAATGTTTGATATACAGGTTTGATTTGTTTATCCTTATGTTCCATATATCTGTTTTATTTTTGTTCTACTTTGGGGATGATTTCCTTAACTTTATCTTCCAAACCTTCTACTAATTATTTTAAATTCTGCTACAGGAATTTGAAGTCTAAGAATTCCTACTTGTTCTTCTCTTTTGATATCAATTTTTTTTCTCAAGATAATTATACTTTGGGAGTGCCCGGGTGGCTCAGTCAGTTAAGTATCTGCCTCTGGCTCAGGTCATAATCCCAGGGTCCTGGGATTGAGCCCTGCATGGGGTTCCCTGCTCAGCGGGAGTCTGCTTCTCCCTCTCCCTCTGCCCCTCCCCCCAGCTCATGCTCTCTCTCTCTCTCTCAAATAAATAAAATCTTTTTTAGGGGCGTCTGGGTTGCTCAGTCATTAAGCATCTGCCTTCAGCTCAGGTCATGATCCCAGGGTCCTGGGATGGAGCCCCGCATCAGGCTCCCTGCTCCGCGGGAAGCCTGCTTCTCCCTCTCCCACTCCC